GTTCGGCGACTAACAGGTTAACTTTAACATTAGGTAACAGGGTCCTATCTATAGTTTCTATCTCCAGGCCTCTCCCTTAGTAATGTGGAGGGTGGTCGCTGGCCTTTCCTGATTGGGTGTTGCAAGGGTGGTTTCTCCTGCCTTGGGCAATGTGTAACTGCCTGATAGTTTCAGGAAAGCTGAAACTCAGGCCTTCTAGATCAGAGGGGAAACTTAAAGCCTGTCATGGAGTCAGTTTGGTTTAGACATTTAGACTTGTGGTCTTACTCTTTCTTTCTTAATTTCTTTCTTTCTTTCTTTCTTTCTTTCTTTCTTTCTTTCTTTCTTTCTTTCTTTCTTTCTTTCTTTCTTTCTTTCTTTCCTTTCTTTCTTACATCCTCTTAATGCCCCTTTTAGACTACTCTATTATCTTTACTTTCTGGGCCTGGAGTCTCTTTGTTTCTTTTATCTGCTGGCTGTCTTTGGTTAGATACCTAGGATTTTGTCCCCTTGAGCTCATCTTTGGCAGGAAATGTTCTCCATGAGACCCCTAGGACGTTGGATGGGGAAGGCATCTCCAGACGGACAGGGTTATGCTTGGTTTTGCTGGAACCTGGTAGATTCTCTTAGGTCCAGAAGGACCTTAATGCTAGCTTTTCAGCTCAGATTTCCCACACCCCTGCAAACCACACTGCAGACTTGGGGCCTTATTTTCCCACAGGAGCTTGAGACATGTGGCCCTCCTCTGGGCCCTGGCTTGGGCTGGGGATGAAGATTCTGGTCCTGTTTTATGGGCACCGTTGCCCTCAGCAGCTCTGACCTAAAAGGGAGCAGATCCAACTCTCTACATGCCTGAGGGCTGAGGCTTCACCTCTCAACTCCTCTGGCCAGAGGGCCTTCATTTTTTAGAGGTAACTAGTGTGCTCAAGTCTTCAAGGCCTAATAGCCACACACTGTTCTGAGTTGACTTAAGTTTCTTCCACCTCCTTCCGTTCTTCTTCTTAAATATCTGGCAATTAGAAAATGGCCTTTCTTATTTTTAGTTGGAATTTGTGTTAAAAATTGTGCTCAGCACTGAGGCTTTGGTGGCATAGGTTCAGTAGTATTCAGTAGCCCAGGGTCAGGCACAGAAAAGATGAACAATTACTTCCATCCATGTGAATCAGAAGTTTTACCCTGAGCGTGTGACACAAAGTAATGGGACCAGAGAAGTGCATCATGTTGGAGTGAGGTTGGTCTAGGTGCTGGGCCTTGGGGCCTGTGCTGGAAAGAGAATGGCAGTGACCATAGATGGGAGGTCCTGATGGAGTTAAGAAACAATGGGGTGGGAGGAATGAGTCCATAAACTGGGAGCATACACGGGGTTGGCGAAAGGGAGAGGTCTGAATCATGCAGTTAAGGGATTACAGGGCTTGGGGTGCATTCAGGGGTAGGGAGTGCAGTGCAGAAAGAAGGTGGGAGCTAAGAGGTCAAGGGTTAAGAGGTCATGGCATTGGATGGGCCATCCCACAAATGTTGAGTTTTGCTGGGATAACA